AGTTCTAGAATGTCTTAACTTTCTTTTCACCTCATCATTGCTTAAAGTTACTGCATTATGGCACCTACGAAGGGTAACTGGATTACACTTTGAAGAAAATTTTTCCCTGGTATCAAGTTGTGCAACTACATAGGAAACAGTTATGAAGATTTCCATGCCATCCCTTTACCCAGAACCAGTGTATCAATAGATACTTCTGTCTGATGAAACTTTGAACATATGCTTGTCCTAGTTGTGCAATATCATAGCCTTTATAAGAGAGCATGTTTGAGGCCATGATAGTGGTATCCTTTCTGGGGAAGTTTTTAGGTCAACAGTTAATTATGGTTTAGAGAATAGGGAATCAAATCACTTCAAGATACCTAATATATCATCACTTAAAGATGATAGCCAAAAATTTTTTAACAGTAGAAACAACACCAAGTAGTATACTGGTGTGGATACATGGAGGAATATTAAAAGAGAGAGGAAGTGGACTTTTGAGGGTTACAAGTAACCTGGGTGAACAAGAGACTTGAGGAAGTGATTGGTGAGAGGCTTAATAAATTTCTAATTTTGGATTGTCTTTAAGGCTTTGTCTAGTTTGACCCTAACAGGGTATTCATAGTTGAGTCGCAAGAAGTAGTGGTCTAGAGTCCATCTACTTTGTTGGTGATAGTCGCAATATACTTTAAATTGATTGTTAGAAGAAGCCTTAGAGAGATTGCAGTTAGATCTTCAAGGAGATGCCCCTTGGGTATTTCCCCCCTCACCTTCCGTAACCTCCCCACTTGGCTGCCCAGAAGATCCTGTTGGGATCTTGTATGTGAGGTGCTACTTCCGATATAGTCCCATGATCCTATTGTCTTTCTTAGTAATCTCTAAGATTGCTGGAAATCCTTCAATCAACATTGGAGAAAGTTGTTCTGATGGTGGTTTGGCATATTTCAATCATTCAGCATGTTCTGATGGTGGGTTGGAAAAAAAAAATTATACTTGCTTGTAGCTCTAATAGAGGTTTCAATTTGATACACTAAACTTGCATATGTCTTACTTGCCTACATATGCTCTACTTGTGGAATTCACGTGCCTTCTACTTCATCATTAGGGTAATTGACACCAAAAGTGACTTGGGTGAAGGTTCGGCAGCACCTGACACTATTGGAGATGTCCACATTGCTTCCACCCAAACCAAGGAAGACGTGGAAATGCTGTTGTCACAGATGCATGATCTTTCTTTCATGCTAGAGGATAAGCTTTCAGTCCCAGCAAAATCTGAAGGTGTTAATTCTTTTCCATGAAGTTAAACTTCATCATGGGTTTCTTTTGTAACTTGCGTTGTGTTTTGTGCACATGTATTTGAGTTTTAGAAATACATGTACCTTTTGAGTGATCCTGCTTTTAAAAAAACAGATATTTCTTGTATCTTACATCTATTCTTTTGATCATTAAGGAAGTAGCCGTTGTAGATTATACATTTCCCTGGACATAAATTAGTTCTCCATTTGCCATAATATGCATCATCATTGTACTGAGGACCGTTTCATGCATTGGGGGTGCTGGTGGATCTTTGGCGTGTGTTTTACCAATCTCGACTGGAAACAGTTGATTGTCTCCTGCTTGATATCCTCCTGCCAATTCCAAAATGTTCTAGCTCTGAGTTGGTTTACGCGACTTGCTCAACCATGGACTGATGTACTTCATTCTTTTCATTTCAACCTGCATATATTTTGATCGCAGTGTCTGAAGTTTAGTTGCCTTCTGCGATGTCTATGTTTTGTTGACAGCCAGAAATAATGATCTTTTCTTGTCAATTGATTGTACATTTGGTGTAATTTGCTTGTAACCACTGTGAGGGCTGCTGCTTGGAGCTGGATAACTGTGAGCTGCAGGAAAACTGGCATGTTGTTTTGAAGCTGGATGGACGTAAGAACATAAGAAAATTGGTACATGTTCCAAATGGGGACTCACAAAATTTATTTTGGCCATGATACCTTGTCAAACTTTAGTATTCACAGCAAGGGGAATGCCCTCTTTCTGAGCGAGTTAAGTAGGTGTTATTGAGCAACTCGTCTGGTAAGTTGATTTGTCCGGCTGCATCCCTGCCTTTGTACACTTTTTTCTTTTTAGCTGGAAATATAAGGGCACAAGAATTTGGCTTGTAGAGTTGGTAAACCGAAATCGTGGACAAAAATGTATTTAGAGAATTTAACTGAACTCTAATACTGTAATACAGAGAGATGCAACTACGTGATGATATCCAAGGTCGCCTGATACTAGAACCAATTGCTACATCTAACTACTTAATTACATATCTACACTTGATAGGAAGAAAAACATAATGGGATGGAAGAAGCTTAATTATAGCCAAAAAGTGTGCTATAATTTTTAAAAAGGCCCTTAACAAAGTTTTTATGGTTGAATTATAGCCAAACAATTGCTTATTGCTATTCTTTTCCCGTGGATCTTTTAGAAGTTACTTTCATTTTCCTTTGGAAATTTTGAAGTTTTCAGCTGTGTCCTCGGATAAAATTACTTTTACCTCCTAATTTTCCCCTCCAAATATATATCTACACAAGTCTTGCCACCCAAAAGTCTACTCTTGCGTCTGCCTCAGATCAAAGGTTATGATTTGGCATAAGAATAATATGAAATTGAAACCATATTATTATCATTATTAGTACTATATAAAAAGTTTGACGAGTTTTGGCAATAGGGAGTGTAAGAATGTAAGCATATTTAATCTTCGTTTTTATTATGATTAAATTACCCTCATGTCTTTTAATTAGAGTTCATGATGCATTCCAATCATGAAACTAATAAGAAAAATAAAACGTTTCAATAAATTACATCTCAAAAATGTCGGTAATTAAAATTAAACTTATCCATTTACAATTATATCCACCAATCATTTCCCTCATTACCAATTATTGCATGTGTTAAAACTATCTCCAACTATTATATTATTATACATGATAATTAAAGTTAACTATATTTTATATACATATTGGTTAGAAGAAAATCACAATTAATAAGAAGACAAAAGGTTATAAATAGTTAATGAGAAAATAAAAGATTAAATTGATGATTAAATTCACTATATTATGTCATATTGATTAAGAAAGCTCCCAAAAAAGTTATCGATAATTATAAAAAATTATAATTGCTTTGTATACAACAAACTTTTAATTATAGATTGCACAATAAACTTTTAATTGCTTTGTATACAATAAACGTTTTGTACAACTACCAATTGTTTAATTTTATTCATTATATAGTTTTTTAGTTTATATTAAGCCAATAATCAAAATTTTACACTAAAATTTAGTATATTAAAGGTTTTATATCTTGAAAAAATATATTCATGTGCGAGAGTTATTACGAGTAATATATAAAAGTCAATAGATGTCCAAGAAATTGAGAATTTTAATCATTTGTTTCTAACACAGAGAAAATTGGATTCAAGCATAATACAAATCAAAGCGATTAGTTGATCCCCATAATATTCACGTGCAAAGCACGTGAGTTGTTACGAGTAATATATAAAAGTCAATAGATGTTCAAAAAATTGAGAGTTTTTAATCATTTGTTTCTAACATAGGGAAAATTGGATTCAAGCATAATATATTTTAAATCAAACGATTAGTTGTAGAGTTTTTAATCATTTATTTCGAACACAGAAAAATGGATTCAACAATAATACATTCTACATCAAAATGATTAGTTCATCCCCATAATATTCTACAGAACAGATACATGATTATCGTCCAAACAGACTGATAATCTTCAACCATTTCTGAAGCTAAGCTCTCTATGGATTAGGCCTGAATCCCGGAGTCAGGTTGCGAGCAAGTTGCTGCACCAGACTTGAGATCTCTGGATTTCCCTGCGAAAGAAGAGTTGGCATCATTTAGTTTTGTAGGGATTCCAGATTCTGATGTCAATACTAAATGCTACTTATCTCAATGACAGATTGTATGCATTCAAAGAGGTAAATGAGCCCAATTTAATGCACAAATTCAAATTCTCTTGAGACCTTGGTACACTTCCTCAAACCACTAACAACATTTGGCATATCCTGCAGCAGGTTTGTAAAAGCTTACAAGATTCTAAAACTCGACAGCTAGTAAACCATGGCGGCAAGACCATCCTACACACAGTACAGAGAAAAGATTGCCCAACAAAATGCTGCTATGCCAATAGGAGTTCAGAATCCCAGTTTCCAGCCATTCTGTACAAGGGATAAGGGATAGGTGAAGAGGATGTAATGCCATTCCAACATCGGATTAATCTGTCCTTAATTTTCACTCACTTTTAAGTTTTAACACGACAACATCAAAATAACTGAAATTTTGAGCACGCATCTGTATATTCCCCCACAAAACCTTACAACAATGAACTTTACCAGACCGGACTTTTAACTTCTGCAAAGCTGATCTAGCAATTTGGACTCTTAAAGGATGAGAGTTCCAGACTACTTGATCATCTCAAGTCACTGAAGGGATAAGGTGAGGACGGGTATCCAGTACAAGACCAAAGATTGCACGTATTTCTTTTTTTTTTTTTCACATTCTTGAAACCATTAAAAATCCACATCTCTTTTCTTTCAATGCATTTTGCTAGTCAAGTTACACTGATCAATATGCAAGTAATTAATGCAAAATTTAGTTCCATATCAGCAAATACAAACTTTTTGTAATGAGATTTTGATTGCTCCAAAGGTTCTGAAGCATCAAGTAGTTATAACATGTTATGTTGCACGAAACTAAGGACGGCTAGATGATATGAACTCACCTGATAGATTTCACGGAAACTATCATCTCTTAGCTTTGCAGTGATGGTAGACCTCATTGATTCAGTAAGCCTGAAATTTTTTAGTATTTCAAGAATCAAAATCAGCAAAAATCTGTCCAAAATGCTCTATTAAAAAAAAGAAAATCTCATAGGTGCAATGAGCAAAGGTGTACACATCACTAAAGGTGTACACATCACTAAAGGTAGCAAGTAGAATTTGAAGAACTTTACTCGTCTGATCTTGCTGCTGCAGACAATCTAACGAGACAGTAAACAACCTTGTGCAACATGCTTGCACTTGGACTTCTAGCAAGCTGATCCACCATGCCAGTCAAAACTTGAAGCGTCACAAAAAGCCGGTCAGCACGTGAAGAGCAATAATGGAGCCCCTTCTCTTGCATCAAAATTTTTGCAACTATAAGGGTTGCAAGCTGTGCAAGTTCAAGTAGCACACTCAGAAATTTTCAAGATTGAGATCAACAGAAAAATTACTAAGACAGGATAATCTGTGCATCCTTAGTGCATGATACGTGCTAGTATACTAATACTAGGATATAAAGCCAAAGAAGAGGATTCAATGTTGAAACTTTTTGTCACCTTTTGAACTCGCAATTTTACCCTTGCAACAATTAAGGATAAAAAGATACTATTATACCTTCATTTTTTTTAAAAGAAAAAACACACGTACTATCTGCAATACTATATATAAAGGTTCTTTTTTTTTACATAGGGGGGGGGGGGGTTTGAGTTTAACATGAAAACTCTAAATTTGCCATCCACTCCTATAGTACAACACTGAAGTAAAATAACTTCACTACTTTGGTGGGAGAAACTGATATTCGACCCATTTCTTATCCTACCACTTGGGGCACAAAATAAATTACCAATTTGAGTCAGCTTTTTCAAAATCTTAGATTGAAATAAGAACTCTGGATTGACATGAATGTGAATTCGAGTAAGCGCAATTCTAATAACAAGACATAAAGTGCTAATGACTATAATAAAATCATGTTTTTCCATGGTTATTATCCTCCATTTGTAATTTTTTTGCAAAAATTTTTTTGTTTGCATCATAAACATGGTTTGTGATCACGTTTTTAGTTTTTTAATCAACATTTTGTCTCACATATATCACATTATTAAAAGTATTATTCTAAATTTTTTTTTTCAAATAATCTCCAATCCAAACAGAATGCTTCCAATGATGAAAAACAGTACCCAACACAACAAATTTTTTCTTGACAAGTAGGATACATAAATATAAATGTACATGAAGAACTCACCTCCTGGGTACGTCCAGTTCCCTTATCCATCCAGCTCAGGCACAATGGAAATGCTTCGGATTCAAGCAGAAAGTGAACAACACTTTGGGCTTGCACAGGATCTTCACACTGGTATTTTATTCAGAATTAGTAAAAGTAACAAGATAGTACACAATAGAAGTGCTCATTTATATTGTGAAAATCATTAATGATACCAGAAGCCATACAGTAAAAGAGAAAAAGAGAAAAGGAAAAATTAAAAGTGCACGCTTTGTGCAATTATCCCACAATAAAAACGTATACTTTGACATAAAATAAAAAGAAGAAAAGAAAAAGAAAAAGTTGATTTTAACTTGGTACACTAAGTTAACAACTGTGGATATTTTCCTACATGTATTTGTGCAATTGTGCCACAATAAAAAAGTATACTTTGACATAAAATAAAAAGAAGAAAAGAAAAAGAAAAATTGGATTTTAATTTGGTACACTAAGTTAACAATTGTGGGTATTTTCCTCCACATGACAGTATGAAATTTGTGTAGACACAGAGATATATTAATCACATAACAGCATGAATTGTGTGTACAAAAAATTCATGCAATGATTCGTAGATTGTAATATTTGACAGCATGATTTCAGAGTTCATCATCATATAAACGTTTCAGCAATGCCCCAAAAAAGCCAAAAAAAAAATTTTTTTTTTTGACGCAGAAAATCTTGCTTTGGCAACAAAAGTCACAATGAATGTGAAGTAACATACATCTTCTCATGCTAATAAATTTTGGGTTTATGAGATTTTATCGTCTATTTATACTTTAGTTTTTTGAGAATGACTGAAATAGAAACATGGAAATTAAAGGAATATTGAGTAACAATTATGAAATCAAAAACTATATTAAAAAAATTACCATTACAAAGGCGCAGAGGACAGCCAAGCTACTGAGCCTTATCTGAGCAAGCGCTTTGTCATCAGCTTTTGCTTGAAGAAATGGGTATAAATAATATGGTATGTTAGCTGCAATAATGAAACTCAGTATTAGATAAAAGAAAATTATAATATCAGAAATATTTATGACATGCCAAAGAAAAAAGATATAAGAATACTTAGAGCTCTGTAACTTAAATGAAATAAATGATTTTATGATGGAGAATTGAAGCAAGATAATAAGTCAGACGTGTTGAGGAACTTATTAGGAAATAAAAGAAAAAATTATTGAACAGGAACAAGTAATTCTGTAGAGTTCTCATTATGCATACAATAGATAAGGAGGAGTACCACTATGTGTTGTTAATGCACGTCTATTATTAGGGTTGAAAGATGAACCAAACTATTTAATACTCGAATCAAATTCAGTTTGGTAAGAGTTTATTCGAAATTGGTTTACCAACTAATCAAACTAAGTTTGACCCCCACACCCAGTGACAGAGCCACGTGCAGTTGAGGTGGTGAAATTGCACCTCCTCAATTTAAAAAAAAAAAAAGTTTATGTTTTAAGTTTAGAAATGTTAGAAATTTTCAGAATTGTTTCTTAATTGCCCCCCTAAAATTTTTAGAATTCTATTTCCTATTATACATTGCCTCCCTAAATAATTGAAAGTTCATAATCATTACTCTTCACAAGAGTATTAAACCTACCAAAAGTTTAATATGGATGTTAATTCAAAGTAATTTTCACTACAAATTTGAAGCACAATTTAGATTTGAAAGCATATTTGACATAGGAAAAATGGAATGTTTAAGATAGACATTTTTATTTATTTTAAACTCTACCATTACACAATTCTTATGCTATCAGAGTTTGACCCCTCTAACTTTAGAGGCCTTGACTCTGCAACTGCCTACACCACTTTCCCAAATCCCATTGCCAAATAAATAAATAAAGAGGAAAAGAGCATAAGAAATACCTCTAATGAGTCCCATTTTCACTTCTGGATGAGAAGCCATCATCTACTTGAAGGAAAAAAAAAAAAAATAAGTACAATAAAGTGGTTAGATCAGTCAAAATATATTTTACTTTTAATCCAAAATAATTTCGTCTTGCTTTAAGGATAAATGAAGCTGCTTATTTGGTTTACAAGATAATTGTGCGAGCTGGTCATTCTAACAAAAGTACATATATATCAACACGTAATTTTCCCATATATGTTAAGGGATTAGAATTCTTGAAAAATAAAAGAACCAACCTGAAACAAGGCAAGAACGCCACAAATTCGACCAAATTCGTGGTTGGTAATCTGCAATGGGTCCAACTTCTTGTATACTGATATTAATACCTAAAAATCAATAAAACCTAACATATGAATCCAGAAATAAGAACACAAGAGACTATATTACGAAATAGTGACTAAGATGATGGCAAAAAGGGTACAGGATACCTTCCTTAGTATATAAATATAACTTGAAATTAACCTTTAAATATAGGACTTTGATTTATTAAAAAGTTTCCAACATTATAATCCCATGCTCACAGTTTACTGAGTACAACTGCATACAAAGAATTGAAAATCTAAGAGTAGAGCAGGAAAGAAACCTCCAAGAGTTTGAATGCAGTTCCGGGAGAATCCCACACTTTCTTGACATCTACGTTATGTGACATCCGGCTCTAATAAAAGTATCAAACAAGGAAAACAAAATTAATATTCCATTGCACAAATCAACGATCACCAAAAAAAAAAAAAAATACTGCAATATATATTTAAAACATGGTATAAGCAATCTCACTCAAGAATACTACAAATTGCGAACCAAAACAGTTAAAACTGCATGTAATCCAACTTATAACCTGTTTAAAAAAAAATCTTTTTTTTAAAAGGATTGGAATTTAAGAAGCAAGGAGGAGAAACAAGAATTTGAATTCAGAATGTCTAATTCATGCACTTGAACCTTAACTACTAGATGAAAACTTGCTCATAATGTCTAATTCGGCAACAAATAATTTGAAGAACCTTTATTTATTTATTTTCATAATGTCTTAGCGAAGGAATAAGCTAGAGAAGGGACGGGTGGGTCGATGATGACCTAGCCCTGAAAAACAAACAACTTTAGCCACTGCATCGTAACATATGATTTCCAAGAAATCTGAGTAATTAGTTAAGTATTGACCACAAAAATTGCAACCATGGTTTTGTGCAGTGTATGGGAAATAAAGAAATTCCAGCTTAAATTGAACATTCGAGAGGAAGTACAAATTTTTGCAAAGCTGCTGCTGCTGCTGCTAGCAAACATTGATGCGGCCTGAAACTAAACCCATGGGTGGCATCGCCTACTAAAGGGTCTCGTCGCTATAGAGCTTCCAACTGGGAGAGAAAAATAAACGGGTTCGGTCTATTTTACTAGAGGTGTTCCTATGAACTTCCTTATGTGCAATTCGATCTAGTTTTCTAAACATAGAACGATAAGATTATTTATGTTTAGGTTTTTTGTTTTTTAGGGATGTCACTGGCGCAATAGAAAAAGCTTCTAACACAAGTCAAATTTTTGCCCATTAAAACTTGTAGGTTAGGTATAGTTTGGTTTGGTTAGTTTGAGTAACTCGTTAAGTACTTAACCAAACTTTTTTTTTTCTTTTGTGGAATTCCAGGATCTCAGGGATTACGTAGATACTTATGTTCGTTTATCTTAAGTTTTCCAGGTAATTTTGATAAAACTATAGTTGATACCAACTATTATTGGGTTAAATGGTAAAGAGTTTGATAACCCTTAAAAAAGGTATGGGATTTGAGTCTTATAGATGAAGAAAATAACGTCTGAAAAGTCCTTACCCAAAAGGACTTCGACAGTACTTGATTCTGAATTTGTTTGAGCCCAGTAAGACCACTGGATGCCGGAAGGTCTATGCCAATAAAAACTAAGGTTGCAAAGTTGGTTCCACACAAAAAGCATGGTTGTACAAAATTGCTGCACAGCACTACAACTTCTACCTCGGCCAATCGACTAAAACCTATCGACAGTAACAAGTGCCCTTTCAGACGAGGTTGTTTCCTTTTAAAAGAAAAGGAAATATTATTATAGAAGTTGCCAAAAGAACTAATAGCACGTGTTTTGATTATTGTCAAGATCTCCAACTATGCGGCTTCCAACTCCGTATACGCAACTAACAGTAGTGAATTTCTTGGCCAGGAAGAAAATACTTAACTGGTTAAACCCTTTAAAGGAGTTGATATAATTTTCTAGCATGTATAAGCCTGCATGATGCTATACACTTATAATGGATTTTCAAGAACAAAGCATGTCTACAGTTGACAATTTCTTAAAGCACAATGCAATAAAATTGCATCTTCAGCTCTAAAGTATAAATATATAAAGTTCGAATTGTACAAATACATTATGAAAAAAAGGAAGTTACCAAGAAACATAAAACTTGATTGAAAGACAAGGATAATGTCTTCCAATTGTCAAATCGAAACGATTCGAGTTGCGCATGTTAAAAGATTAGAAAAGTAGATACACTATTCCATTTAAATGCCTTCAGACAGAAATTAAATGTATTACACACAATATATTTTTTGGAGCATTACACGCAATAGTTAATTCTGTAGTAACAGAAACTATAAGCAAAGATAAACTAAAGTTAGCCTACAAATGAGAGACTACTAAAGGAGAATTTGGACATAATCTTATTAGGCAAAGGGTATGAATATTACTTACTAAAGTTTGGTCTAAGATGGAACACTATTGTGGAATGATGCTCTCTTTCCTTCATGAACACGACAGTTGATTTGATCCATAATGTCTATCTGGATCCGATGATATAGGGTGGACATTTCATGCATTTAAGTGAATAGATTATTTTTTGGTTACTCTATGTCTTATAATACAGTTGGCATCCAAGTCCAATTATTTCAACAACAGAAAACCTTGATTTGTGCATTTTTTACGGTTTAGGATGCTTGCGTAGATACAAATGCATAGTATCTATGCTGAATAAATCTATGTGCATAAAATATAATTAATTATTCACAGAGAATGTCAATAGTTTTTTCCCGTTTACATGCCACATTTGTAAGTAGACCAAAAAAAGAATAGTGGATGTTATGTATCATGTTTCTATATTCCATCTAATGATAAAAAATAGAAGAATCTTCAAATTGTAGTGTAACATTTTCACAATAAAATCAATCAAGTAGTGTTTTGAAAACTACATTGAACTGTCTAATTTAATGGAGTTGAATACGAATTAATCGGTTCAACCAATCAAACTATAGATCAAATGGTTAGAATTGATTGAACCACAAACCCATATGTCATCGGTCCAATTCTATATTAAACCCTAAAATATAAAGTTAGTCAATCAGGTCAAAATTTGACTAAACCAGTCAAAACTAGTAGAAACCAATTGATTGAACCACTACCACTGAGTATTATCCAGATTGTTTTTCATATTATTCAATATTACAATTAATAAAATAGAGTTGAACCCATCCTAGTCCCACCAATGCAATAAAGTTCAAGTCCATAATCATTATTATCCTTTCCCTTTCCACTAATTACCATGCAATTAATCAATATTACAATCAAATTACACGTCAAAATTAATTAAAGTAAAACAAAAACTATACATGAGCATAACATATGCATAGAAATAGTCACAAACACAGGAACAAAAATGGTATAGAAGTACATACACATGCCACAGATTTGCTAGATGATGCATCTTTCAAATGCAAGAGAGTCTTTTCACATAAGTTGAACTCATCGAGAATTGGTATGAGTCTTTCCATTGTCATGGAGCTTAACTCTAAAGGAATAAAAAATGCATCCGAAGAAGAGAGGTATGCCGGGGATTGTGTATTGCCTGCAACGGACGGGTAGTTGCTGCTGGATGACCCTGATCTAGGCGAAATGCCTTTGGTCTTTTCCAAAGATGATCCCAAAAAGTTATCCATTCTCTTTAATTTTATCTGCAAAACATTTGACTAGAGACTGTGAAAAGGCAGCTGTGATAAGGGGGAGCAAGAAAAGTTAAACAAACTTTTGGATGATAGAGGAAAAATAAAAGAAAAAAGAGGCCTTGAATTTTGTTAGACAAACTACTTATTGCAGATGACTAAAAGCATTTTTTGCCTTGCTAGAACATTTTGTATTTATTTTCTATAAGGTATGTAGGTGTCATACATGTACAGAACCTAGAAGATAAAGAGGAAAAACTTTGTTGACTCAGGTGTAAAATGTTAGCTAATGAATTCAAATTAAAGGTGATACTTATTAGCTTTCCTAAGATGTTGATGGAAATTTTTTGAGAATATAGGAAAGTAATAATGGCTGGTGAAAGGCTATGAATTTGGAAAGTTTTTCTGTACAACTCTGTATTCTATTATTTGGCATAGTAGCTATTCATGATTAAAAAATTATTCATTTGGATGGTATGTTTTTCAGGAATTTGTTTAAAATTTTATGTAACTTACTGTGAAGTTTTCACAAAAAGTTTTATATATTTTAAGTGTTTGGAGAATATTTGTAAAATTCTGTCACTCATCACGTGCCACTAACTAGTACCATCACACCCATTAGCAACAATTAGTACCCCTTCCTATTTCTCTCCCTCCTTCTCTAGCAGCCACCACCCCCCTCTCTACCACCACCTACTACCCTCCTCCTCTTCTTTCTCACTACCACCTAAGCCTGTCAACGGTCTGGGTCTGGACCCTCAATTTTTTTTAGGTACGGGTTGAGATATAATTTGTTATCCGGATCAAGATCTGTACCCGCTTACTCTAACAAAAAAAAACAGATTGGATACAAAATATAGGATTTCGACTCGTATCCAACCCGAACCCGTTTAAATAGATTAATAATTATAATATATAAATACTTCTTAATACAATAGTACTTCTTTACCCTAATATTGCATAAAAAGTGCAAAATTTTGTACGGTTTTGTTTCTGCACCCGTCAAACCCGATTCCAAGATTATAAGTACAAGACCTATTGGGTAGACGGGTCAAATCCGGAATGGGAAGATTATAATGGGTTTGGTCCGGAATGTCCAATTCCGGCCGGTACCCGTTCCGTTGATAGATCTGCTACCACCGATCACTCTTACCCTCTTCTTCCCCATCACTACCCACCATCCCTTTCCTTTCTCCCCTTTCTCCTTTTTTCTCTTCTTTCCTTTCCCTTCTCTCATCCAGATTTGCTCTTGCGACCAGAAGGAGGGGGTAGGTGAAAGGAAAGGAAAAGAGGTGGTAATGAAAGAGGAGAGGGAGGAGAAGGAAGAGAGGAGGGGAGAAAGGAAGAGAGTTGCTGGTGGAGGTAGGGAAGTAGAAGGGGAGAGTGGGTGCATGGAGGTGGGGAAAGAGGTGAAATAAGAGTAGGAACGAGAGAGAGGGGAGAAAAGAGAGGTGGCAACAGCAGCGGAAGTGGCGGCAGACAATGGAGTGGGGATGGTAATGGTGTGGTTTTGGGGCAGGGAAAGGGGGAACCCATCTTTTTAGCTAAAAATTCCCCCTATTCCTACCTCGTACCCGTCCTACCCTGCTTCCCCCCGAGTACCCATGGTTGGGAAAAAAACCAGAATTAGCTAAGTGGTAAATATTAGTTAGCTAAGTAGATTTCCAGAAATTCCTTAATTCAACCATGTAATAATTGCTTAAAAAGACTTAAAAAACCAGAAGCTGCAGAAACATGCAACAAGTCAAAGCAGGTCAAGTTTTCAAATTCTAAAATAAGGGAAGAAGTTATCAACATATACTAAAAATCCTAAAAGATGCTAAAATTGCTAAAATGTCTGCTAAAATAGGACATGTCAAGTTCTTAAATACTACTGCTATTCCAGTACTAGAATAGATTAACAAGTTACCAACATATCAAAAATGCATCCTTTTCAATTGGTGGACAATCGCACCTTTGAACTTAAGTTCAGGAAGATTGAGAAATTGAAGGCTCCAATGGCGCTCTAGCAATGAAGGAATGCTCAATTGACAAGATCAAAGGAAGGAGTGGAGAGGCTGAATACTGGTGGTTGGTCGATCGGCAGTGATTCAAGAAGTGGGCGGGTGGCGGATAAGGAAACTAGAAAAAGAGAGAAGAAAAAAGTGACTGAGGGAATTAGGGTAAGAATCGCCTGACATTTCTATCGATGGACAGTAACTCAAGGGGGGGGGCTAGCGGCTGGCGGTGGATAAGAGAACTAGAAAAGGAAGAGAAGAAAAGAGGGATTGAGGGAATTAGGGTAAGGGTTGTTTGAATGTCTTAATTCTTATGCTTGTATAATTATCAGTATGACTAATAATATTAATTATATTACATATATAATATGAATGTATTATGTATGTATGATCATTATAACTAATAATATTCAATTATTAATTATAGCATATATACATAATTTTTGTTTTGCATTTTATTTATTTATTTGGGAGACTTGGCACGTGATGGGGCAGGACCCCATTTTTGAGTGGGTGGAGGAAAACCCCACATGCCTTGCCTCCCGCCGCATCACTCTCCCAGCCGGGTAGGTGCTCGTGATTGCCATCCCTAGAGGTGGTGACAACAGCGGCAGGATGAGGTAGGGCTGGTGGCAATGGAAGTGGAAATGGTTAGGAAGAATAGTGGTGGAAGAGGAACACGAATTGCATTTTAGGTCTTTTTTTAGATATTTTGGGGGTTTTCTTTTTATAAATTTAGAATGTTTTAACAAGTTACTATAACTAAAGCTGAAGAAAAATTTTGGCTTTATTTGTATTGGTGTGCGTTTGTTTTTAGAGCTTTATTTTTTGAGTCTATAGTGACATAATTCAAAAACACCACAAAAAATACTTAAATCATACAATCTTAATTATACCTAATAAAAGCCAAAAAATTTTAAAAATAAAATAATTCTTACTATCTCTTTCTTCTTCTATCCACCACCACCCACCATACCAAGCCACTTACCACTGCCACAAGCCTTTCCCTTTCCTCCTCCACTGCCCCCTTCTCCCTCTATCCTTCTCTCTCCTCCCTTTTTTTCCCTCATTCCTCCCTCTCTTCCTTCTCCTTCTCTCTCTCTCTCTCTCTCTTCCTCCCCCTCCCTCTTCTTTTCCTTTCTTTCCCTCCCTTGCATATCTCTCCTATCCCTCTGATCTTCCATGACCATATCTGGTCATGGCCGGAGAGACCAGTGAGAGGGAAGGGGGTACAGGGGAAGAGAAGAGAGAGAGGGAGGTGGAGGGAGGAAAAGGGAGGGGAAAGAGGAGAGAGGGGGAGAAGAAAAGAGGAAGAGGGAACAAACAAAAAGGGTGGAGGTGGTGGGTGGTGGGTGGTGGCAGTGGATGTGATGGATGCACCTGGTTATGGTAGGGGCATCATACAAATTTTTTGAACTATTCCAACAAAATTTTAAATTTTAAAAACACCCTCAAAATACATCTACAGTGAGTTTTTAAATATATAATGCTATGGTATAATTTTTGCAAAACATCTCAAAAAACACGTAATCCATATGAACCCTTTGTCTATTAAAAATATGCAAAAGACAAGGATGCAAAACGGATCCTAAGTTTTGCTCATATCCATAACTCACCAAAATTTCCATACTGGCATGTAACTGATGTAACATGTGAGTTTGTAATCAATTCTCCGCGGATGGGTCTAGTGGTACAACTTGACATGGTATGTTGGTCACAATAGAATATTTCTCATAAATTTGACATTGTGTGGAAAATTTAGTAAGTGCCTCGTTGCTCAAACATGGTCAATTTCAATTTGTTTCTGTATATCTTCAATTGTCCTGATAGCATTTAGATATATAAAATTTGGGTTAAAAACAAAAAAGCCCTCTGTGGTAAGTCTAATACACAGAAAAGCCCCCTATAGTTTTAAAATATACAATACGACATCTCATGCTTTGAACTAAATTGTAAAAGTGACGGAATCCGTTAAACTTAACGGAAATGACTTATTGGAACTTAAAAAAAATTTTTATACCTATTTTTTATCAAATATACCAATTTTACCCCTTAACCTTCAATTCTCTCTATTTAGAAAATAAAACAAATGATTTTTTTGAGCTGTCTTTTGCTTAATTATATCAGGGTATTTTGGTCATTTTGACCATTTCCGTTAAGTTTAACGGATTCCGTTACCTTTACAATTTAGTTCAAAGTATGAGGAGTCGTGTTGTATATTTTGAAACCACGGGGGGCTTTTCTGTGTATTAGGTTTACCACAGGGGGCTTTTTTATTTTTTACCCATAAAATTTTTGTTGTAACATCTGTAAGAACCAAAACATGAGAGATCAGATGTGCAATCTAAGTGAATTACTACTCAATTGAGACAACAATTACAAGTAGTGGAGGAAGGGACCTTCTATAATGGATCATAGTCTGCATGAACCGTTTCACGTAAATTGTGAGCGCCACATTTTTGTGAGAAACTGTTGACGTTGTCCGTGTCTATATTAGAAAATTTCAGCATGTGAGGAGGTAGAATATTCCTAAATTATACATCCTCCTGTCTTATTAATTTCTCTTCTGATCTCAACCTTGAAAATTTCTTTCTGTGTTATGTAGACTTGCATAGGTTGCAACCCTTAAAGTTGCAAAAATTCTGATCCAAGAGAAGGGGCTCCATTGCTGCTCTTCCCATGCTGATCTTTTTTTTTTTTTTTCCCTTTTAAGGCAATACCTTCGAGTTTTAACTCGCATGGTGGATCAACTTGCTAGAACTCCTGGTGCAAGCATGTTGCATAAAGTTGTTTATTGTCTCGTTTGCTTGTCTGAAGCAGCAAAATCATGATCATACAAGCAAATTTTTTCTCCATGCTACAGCTAGATATGTAGCTATGCCCATTGCATCTATGAGATCGTAGAAGATTCTATAGCCCTGTTAGGATACAATATACTCTTGTTTGATATGGTGTTATACCAAAATTGTAGAATTTTTGATGTGCTAGATTCGTGCTGAT